AAAAAATTGTACAAAATGCACGCATTAAAATAATTTATTTTACACAATAATATACAAATAAAAAAGAGAGATGTTTACTAACATGATTAGAATATAATTATATGTATGGATCAAAAATTTTTTATATAAATAACTAAAGAGAAATATATAATCAATTTTTATTTGCATTATAAGACGTGAAGAAGTTTACGCAGTTTGCATAATGAAAAATCAGAATAAGAATGGCAAAAGATGTTGCAATAATAAATTCAGTACTTCGGACAAAGCACTAAATAGGTAATTTGATATAAAATTACACTTTGTAAATACATGTATTATTTATATTATAACTTTAGAAAATTTAAGAAAAATTAAGATTAATTTTAGAAAAATATTGGAATTAAATAGTAAATGGACAATTATATATAATAAGAGAAACAGAAAATATAGAATTGTTAGAAGACAAGTCGGAAGACATGTCGGACTCGACGAATATGTCTTTTATTCAATACTCAATACTGATATTGCTATGGAATTAGGAATAGCAGCAAGTGTGGTAAGAATTAAAATAATTATTAAAAAATTTTAGCCCGTTAGTATATTAAATGTGAATATAAGTTCAAGTATTTATTGAATATATATCTATTTTTATATGTATATACATATACGTGTGTGTTTTAAAATAAAGTGCTGAATAATTTAAAATAATAATGCAGTTATTCGGAGCTTTAATATGCATTTCATTATTTGTTTGTAGATAGCACGTAGTATACTTGCACTTTACAACGAATTAGTAGCCGATCGGGCAAAGAATCCTTATGTTGCTCAATGGCAGAAATCTGGGTAATGAGTATCAAGTTTCTGGGGGCCCGATTATCTAACAACAAACGTATATGCGTAAACTCTGCTCTAACAGAAAAACTGCAAGCTTATTGACTATAAAAACTGTGCGATAGCCAATCAATTTGCAGCCTTTCTGTTAGAGCAGAGTTTGCGCATACGTTTTTCATCGTTTAGTAAATATTTTACGTGAATTTTTTTTACATAGTTTCAAATTTAAGACGTATGATTTTTACACACGTACTTATATAAGCAGAGCTGGCGAATATAATGTGTTAAATTATGCTCGTAGGGAAGACATAATAGTTTTACGAGGATTCGATCATAAGCATTTAAAATATCTCGAGAACGAGGCGAAGTTTACAGCCCTCGGTAAGCATGCCATTTATCACCGATGGTATCACAATCGTATAATGCTGGTATTATCGGTGTTCGGACGAAGGGAAGAAATCGAGGATATCTTCGACGGACTGCCGCGTTTACGATAGCGGTAAGTAAACGGTTTTTCTTAACAGTTACTTAAATAATCAATTTCAAGCTTTTTTTATTTATACTCTCTTTCAACTTGTCCTCAGTTGCGGTGCGCCAAAAACGTATTTATAATAGTTAAGTATAGAATTAAACACACTATTAATATATTTTTACATATAAAGATATTACACTTTTAATATTAATTATATATATCAAAAATATATCGCGTTCATTTTTAAACTCTTCTACATCGGTAGCTGATATTTGATAAAGAAAAAAGATATAGAGAGAAATATATAAAAGTGTCATATGTTTACAGAAACAATTTAAGTTACCGAAATTATATAATCTTATTTATTTTACAAAGGGGATGTTATTTCTACGGATATAAACGGCCGGTAAAAAAAGTAGCGATTGCGCTCCATGAGAAGATGGTAATATCTCAATCGTGCTGATCGGGCGGTATCCTTTACCGGCCTATAGAAACGGCTATGCATATTATACTCATTGTCAGCGAGCGAGCGAGCGACGAAGGAAGCAAAGGACACGTTAAAGCGCAAAAGGTCCGTCAAGTTAAAGAGAGCGAAAGAGAGGCAGGCGCCACGCCCGCCCCTCCACGCACAGTTCGGCCGCAGAGGGGGCGTGGGGGGGCAGCCGTGGGGGCGTCGGAGTCGGAGGAGAACGACTGGCAGTCGGCGCAGCCGCCCGCCGCGTTTTATGCAACCAGTCTTGCTTCGGAGCGAGCGAATCCACTGGCCCCGGCCTTTGACAGAGAGCACGGGGTAACGTGTGTGCCAGTGCCATCGTTATTTCGTCCGCGCGCCGTCGTCCCTCTCCCGCGGCGGTGGGGACACCCCCGCGACACGCACCCCGGACACTCCACGACTCCACGATTCTCCGGGGTTTTTCCTCGCGCTGCTTTTGAGGCAGGTCACGACGGGGCCTGCCTGCCTACCTACGAGCCTGGCTCTCGCGTACTCGTGTATTAACATCACTGACCGCGGGCCGTCTGTGTTTTTTTTTCCCGTGCGCGCTGACTTTGCCGGCGCGGGCGAGCTCGGAAAGGTGACAAGACTGTGAGTACTGTGACAAGGCGGTGTCGGCGGTGTGTCGCTCCCCCGATATATTGTATCGCTCCGCGCAGAGCCGCGCCGCGCCACACCACGTACGTACGGAGCAGTCGGAGCAGTCACGATCGCGCCCCGCAGTGGTACAGTGTAGGCTCGTGTCCGCCGATAGAGTGTCAGTGCGAGAGCGGTCGGTGTCGGTGTCGGGTGGTGTGTGCCGCCGACACACGGCTGCGTTGTCCCCACGACTGTGTGTATGTGCGTGCGTGCGTGCGTGCATATATGTGCGTGACGTGTGCGTAAAGGCGAGAGGAAAGGAGAGCGACGACGACGACGGCGGGCCGGCGGCGCGTAGTGCGAGTGCGAGGGAGAGGGACGGGCGCGACAGGCGATGCGGCCGTGAATCCTCGATACGTGGCTGCGTTCACGCCGCGTGTATTCCACACGACACACTGATATACAACGACAACAACGACGACGACGACAACGACGAGGACGAGGACGAGGACGAAGACGAGGACCAAGACGAAGACCAAGACGAAGACGAAGACCGAGACGACGACGACGACGACGGCAGCGACGGCGGCGGCAACGACGACGACGACGACGTCGACGATCACGACGACGTTGGTCGGCGAATTGCGAGCGGAGCGACAGAAAAAGGCGCGCACTTGCACGCGCTCCGAATTGTCACGCAACCGCGGCATTCACATAACCGCGACGTGTCTGCTGAGTCTCCTGACGCGTGCGGGCTCCTAGCTCGGTCGACTAGTCTCCTTCGACCTCCTCCTCTTCCTCGTCGTCACTATGGCGGACGACGAGGTTCTCTTCGACGATGTTTACGAGCTCTGCGAGATTATCGGCAAGTGAGTAACGAGAATCCCCCGGCCCCGGGGATGGGCGAGAGAGTGAGGAAGAATCTACGAGTTAAAGCGGTTAAAAGGGTGTATAAGGAGGTGCCGCGCGCGCGAGAGAGAGAAAGCGCGATGCGATTGGATGAACGGCGGTGGGCGGAGGTACTTTGAGCGTGGTGGTTTTACGTGCGCATGTATACGTGCACATGCGTTGCACTCGCGCGTCTGCGCGTATGCGTGCGTATGTGAACCCGCTGAGCACGGAAAATAATGCCTGCAGCCCGTGTGTGTGTGCGTGTGTGTGTACGCGCACCGCGAGCTCGCAAGGTAAATGTACCAATGCCTGGACACGTACCTATGTCCTGGACATTTCTATCATTTTAGCCCTTAAGTAAGTTATAACGCGAACAAAAATCAAAGAATCAAAGATAAAAATATTTTTTTTTTTATTATATTTTTATGTTCGATTTTAATTCGCGTTATACTTATTTGAAAACTAAGATGATAAAGGTGTCCAGACATATAGGTCTTTAAGTGTCCCGGCATTGTATGTACATCGGTGTGACACGGGATGAGAGTGAGTAGGAGAAAGAGATGCGAGAGTTTAAATGAGGAAGGCGTCGCGTCGCGTCATGTCGCGTGTGTGCAAGTTCCCGATTGCTTCCAGTTTCCACCTTCTCGTCGAATTCCGTCCAGTAACTCGACCCGCCACGCATGCTTACGGAGCGAATAAAATTGTATCGTTTTCCTGCTCGTTCCCATATCACGGTGCAAATTAATTCATATACTTTGCTTATAATTTCTTGCGAGTCGATATACACTTGCTTGAGAATATTTCGTTAAATAACAATGGAATTCGTGAACAATTTATGCTCCTTATCGTGACGTAAAACCTTATTTGAATCGGGCCGTTTGTGGAATGAATTCCTAAATTCTAGAGAGATAAGAATCAAATGTTTTTCTAAATTGATGTAATATAGATGTTTGTTTCAATAAAGGTTTCGACGTTTCGTGGGATGTCTCTCTCAAAATAAATGGTTTACTTGGCATATTGGCAACAGCCCATTTGTCTATCAGATTTATCTGTCGATAAATCATTTATCTGGACTTTTACATGTTCAAGCTAGACTTTATCAATTTGTTCGGAAGGCAAGATTATTGCCTAACTCCGAAAAAAATATGCAGAAGTGTTGAAACATGCCTTTTCATCGAGCTTTTCATAAAAACAGGAAAAGTAAATAATCGAGAAATAAAACAATTAAGAAACCGAATAAAAAACTATGTAGAATTTGAACGAAAAGGTCTTGAGTAAATCTTGATTGGATAGTTATAAATGTTGTATTGTTCGTTCCTGTTTATATAAGAATCTGTCTTAAAATCTTAAAAAGAAATTCATGAAGAAGTTTCAATCTGGATTAATATAAAGAAAATGTAATAGGAAAAGTATATACCATAATTTTAGAAGAAGAATTTTTATTCATTTATGAAAATTTTCCTGAACATTTAATGAATCAAATATAAATAAATTATATATTACTTTAACCGATTTATATCGATATTGAGCAAAAATGAATTTTTTTTTAAATATAAAAATACAAAATGACTATACTAACATACGAAACAACTGATTCGCGAAAAAATGTATTTCTTATTGATGAACGAAAATTTAATTAAAACCGAATCTTCTACATAACGCTTGGTTTTCGTACTGCTATGTTAGCAACGATCGATTTCGCCAAAACGGTTTATTTCTGCTGAAAGACTATATAGCTTGAAAAGCAGAGATTGCTGTCACGGAAACGCAATTTCGTTTGTATCGGAAGCCAATACTTGATTTATCATTCAATTGGCTAACCTTCATGCCAAAATAATATACGTCACCAGCTGCGACTAAAATACCTGTCACAAAGGCGTAGGCTATTCGACGATCATCGACTTATGACTCAGATTTATTCTCTCCCTGTCCAAACTATTTATAGCTTGGACTTGCAATTATCATGCTATAAACGATACGCTACAATTTATTAGCTCGCATACTTTTTTATTCGCACGTCAGACACCTTTCTTTTTCATATATTTAGTTCATAATTCTTCAAAATCGACAGGTTTTAAGAACATTAATCGGGCATATTATAAATGCATGTATAAATAAATAAATACAATTATACAAATTAACCGTTGACACGCCTTGAAATTATGCATGGTTTTCATAAATTATTCAACATTTGAAAGATGACGTGAAATATATCACACCTTCTTTTGAAAGAAGAATATTTATGTGTGCCGCGATTTAATACAATTTAAGAGGAAAGAAATATATGTACGTTGTTTAAACGTATATACCTATATATTTTGTCAGACTTTAAGTATTTTTGCCATAGATTTTAGTACTCTTATCAGTAAGATAGATAATGCAATGTAGAATGTATCATGTCGAATTTGTATGATAAATTTAATGTATTATCTTTTAAGTGTTAACAATATATACCACTTTAAATTCTATCCTAGTATAACCTAATAGATTTTCTCATAAACTGAGAAATAACGTGTTATTTATAGATTTTTGTGATTCGGCACGCACTGTTCGTAATATTGTTGCTGAAAGCTATTTATTAAAATACACTCAATCACCCAATATCATCAAATGATATTAATTGATCCAAACTCGAAATCCTGATGAATTTACATCAATATCACATTCTGTCTTCATTATGCGCATTGAGGATGCCAAGCTCGCTGATTAAACTATGTTTACAAATCGATCGATCAACAGAAAATACAATAAAGTACAATAATTTTTTAATATCGGCTAGGAAAATATCTATTTTTTGACGTTATTAAGGTTCGCGAGCATTAGTTAATTTATGTTATGTCGAACAAGTAAGGAAATTATTCAACTACATATAACATCAATTTCTTGCTATTTTCAACTGTGTAATTAAGTAGAAACGCTTTGTCGCGTAACAATTGGTGCAGAAATATTTCAATGGGGACAGTTTGAAGAGATCATCCTGCATACATATTGTATATATGCCTACATGTGGATCCCGTCAATTAAATTCAGCATGAGGTATATCAAGAAGTGGCACATTCTTCGTTCGTTACGGTTAATTGAATTCGCACAGCCAGCGCTCTTTTCTCTGCGTCAATTGAACTTAAATGCCATACGCTACAGTTCGCACACAAACGGTTCTTTTAAAGTCGTTCCTTTCAATCGACTGCTAAGGGTTTTGTTCCGTATTTAAGATATTACGAAGTAACACGAACGTAACGACACAACGGCGCTTTTTACTCATTATATATATTATATTTTATTTCGTAGCCGTCGAATTTCCTCTAACAGTTCTCAACTTTGTAACTCTTTTGTAATTGAGTTTTCAATCAGCTAAATAATTATTTAGTGTGCTTTAATTTTTTCGCTAGACAGCTCCGTAAACGACTGCAGTGTATACAACATTTAATTTATCCTTCATGTTGCAGCCGCTATTAAGCTTTGCAATTCAGTTTCTAAAGTATACGAATCATGAGAATAATTACATTATTAAGACAGAGGAAAAATGAAGATAAAATTATTACTAACATTGTGCACATTTGTTTGTGGATGCTATCAGTTAATAAATCAGGATCAGTTGTATCGGAAGCTATTGTGGAAATGGAAACGGAGTTATATTGAACAGGAGCCCTCGACGCTTTTACCTCGGTGCTTTATCGCTGGAGAGCGAAAGCATCACCGAGAAATCCCTAGTATGCTTCGACGATTTTAAATCTCGATACGGACACGTACAAGGCGAGATACGGGGCGGCGTGTTCTGCTTTTACGATTCACGCCCTACTTTTTGTCTCGCAAACTCCCACACGCAAGACCCTTTTTTAAAAGACAGGATAAACTTTTACCTCTGAAATTTGTTCTTGAACTTAATTACGCGAATCGAGTTTTTATGGCATTTCTTTGTGGCTAACGGATCAAATGCTCTATACGGAAATTTAAATTACATAAACGGCAAACCTTAATCTCGCGGTTGATGAAAGTTGTAATAGATGTTCTATCTATATGGTGAGATCAATCTTATACGCGGTATATGTTTTAAAAAATATATTGTATGAATAGGGAAATCTTTTGTAGAGATTTAAAATAAACGAGAATTTATATTAATTCATTTGCTGCACATTCGGTATTTTACTTTCATATTTTATGTTTAAAAATGTTTACCTCTATTCAGCGTTGCAATATTGTGTTCTACTTTAATGTGCATAATAGAATTTATCGGGATACAAACGCGTCGTGTGACGCACTTTAAATTTAATAATTTTTTTATTTTGAAGAGTACATTGCATTCTTTTTCTGTTGTAAAAATATTGGATATTTAAATTGGAGTTTAACATTTTCATTATCGTAACTCTGCTCCGAGATTTAATTTTGAAATTTAATAATCAAAGACGATTTTTTATTTAATACATTATTTATTGACATTATTTATCGAGATACCGTAAATATATTATGAGATTAGAGCAATTTGCTGTGATTATTAATAAATTAGTAGTTTTAGTAATGTACACATATACACATAGATATATAAATCCATGAAGTATAAAATAAAAATTATGAAATAGGAATAAAAATAGAAATAAATATATATGAAACATATGTGAAACGATTTTCTACAAATATTTTCGATTGTATATTCAACATATATTTCGGAAATAACGTAATATTTTAATGATATTTGGCGATAAATATTTACGGGGAAGCTTTTTCTCTTATTCAAACGTACATGCTATTCGCGTTTCTTTGTCTGCAAACACATGCAATATTTTTTTCTGCGAGGGACAAGTCTCCGTGCAAAATCGTGTCGTAGATAATCGCTTTAAATTTTTATCCTTTCGAAGTAAATTCTATTTTATGTCTTGAAGATAAAGCTAGCTTGTCTGGAATTTACACATAATTTCTTAACACCTGATATGGTGTGACATATGTCGACACACGACTCTAATTCTTGCTTTAAAGCATGATA